GTATTTCGGGCCAATCAATAGGAGTGAAGCGACGACTATATTGATGTCTGAGAACGAGACGGGAGTCTTCTTAGTGAGGAATAGCACCACAATTGTCGGCGATCTGGTCCTGTGTGTGAGGTCTAGTCAAACGCTACACTCATTTGTTGATGACATGCATTCATTCATTTGCTTACTTCCCAACAGAGAGGACAATAAAGTGAGTCATTATATCATCAATAAGATCCAGCCGTCGGCAGATCAGACCCGGTTTAGAATCGGCGATCAGATGTTTCCGGACGTTCCGGCGCTCCTCAACTTCTATAAACTTCATTATTTGGACACAACTCCACTCATTAGACCCGTAAGAGCTGTCAATCAATGGTCGCTTTGATTATATAATAACGGTTTTGATGAATAGGCGTCCAAACGGGTGGAGAAAGTGAGGGCTCGCTATGACTTTGAAGGAAGCGGTGATTCCGATGACCTGCCCTTCAGGAAGAATGAAGTGCTGACAGTGATATCGAAAGACGAGGATCAGTGGTGGACCGCACGTAATAGTTTAGGACAAACCGGGTCTATACCCGTGCCATACGTCGAACTGGTATTATAAAACGATTTATACCGAAAATCTATTGTATTTATGATTGATATGATTACAAAAAAGATGGACGAAAGCAATCACTCAATGGATGGGCCAATGAATGTTCGGTCGCCGTCGTTGGAAACGAATGCAAACAATTCCTGCAATACTAGTCAAACAAATGCCATTTCGAGGACATCGGAACCCACCAAATATATAACACCCCCTAATATTCACATTCAACGCAAACTACCGGCGCGTGCGGTCGTCAACAAACAGCGAATACCCAACGCTTACGATAAAACTGCACTCAAATTAGAGGTACATTTGATGAGTGAGAATAGTATTAATGATCGGTATTTAATAAATGGTTTGTTTGAATGTCATTATACAGAAGGGAGACATTATAATAGTGACGAAGACTAATATTAACGGCCAATGGGAGGGCGAGTTGAATGGAAAGGTCGGTCACTTCCCGTTCACTCACGTGGACTTCATGGACACCGACACTATCGATGATGACAATCATTGATTCATTAAATTATAGTTTACTATACAATATATACATATAAATAGAAATATATTTAATTTAATTATTGTGAATATAGTCAACAAATTTTTATAATCTCTTCATTTTACAAAAAAATCCATTTTTAATACATTTTATAAATCATGTGAAAAGCAATTCATATCTGATATTAACTTCATTTTAATTCATAAAATGTTTTAATTTAAGAACAATTATTATAAATATGTTTATAATGTTTTAAATCAAAACTAATTGATAGTTATTTTGAAAATTAATTATAAAAGTAATGTAAAAATAGAGTCAATTGTTTATTAATATTTTGGACAATTAATACAGATTTTTATAAACTAATGTAAAAAACGGCTTTCATATGTAAAGACGATAATTAAGTTGAGATTTTGTGCCTCTTTTTCTAACAGTAAATATGTTTTTCTTAATTTATTGACAACTTTTGGTTTGTTTCAAACTTTTCTAACACTTGACTTAATTAATGAATAAAACAAAATACAAATTCAATCAACTTTTCAATCCTTTACTATTGACTGAAACTAAATATTTATTTCCATCTATTCGTAAATCAACGCTAAATAAGTTGCGAAATACATGTATTGCACAATAGGGTCGGTACAGCTCTGGTCATGATATTCGGGCCTATACTGTGATTGTAAATTATAATTTTAACATGCACATTTTGGTTAATTGTTACAACAACTGTATTACAAAATACAATAAGATGTGAAACAATTGATACAAAATTACGTCAATCTATTGCAATACAATTCATACAGAAATGCGTTACAAATGAGACCACTATTGAAGACGTTTTCACTTTTCACCGCAATTGCCAACAGTTTGTGCCATACGTTGAGCGCATGCGTCAGCGCTTTAACTCAGCGACCAATAGGAGTGCGTTTGGAAGCGATTTAAACTTGTTTTACGGCTATTAATATTATTGACTGCATTTTAAATGACTGTTTGAATGAGATTTTAGTTATAATTTGTAGGCTTTAATTGAATACACGTTTTGTTGACAATCAATAACTCATTGAATCATTGAATAATCGATTGAATACTCTGTGGATAGAGTGGTGTCTGCGATGAGCCATAACAACCAGAAGAACCGCTTCGAGACTGAGAACCAGATCTTAATGGCTCAGCAATGGATGGATGGGCCGATTGGGGGCATCGCCGGCGCCCCTCCCGCCCGATGGCAACGCAAACGCGCCGACACTTCGACCGCAAACACTCTGAACCACTCACTCAACGCTTCCCTACTTCTGAACACAGCCAACGATAATGCGCTCAATATGTCTAATAATGTGCTCAATATGTCGGCCAACAACATAGCCGTCAATACGTTGACCAAAACGCCGTCCAATACGCCCAACAAGAGGGCCACTCCTAACAGATCCACTCCTGGATGCGCTCTCAAGACCACCAACAGTACCAATAAGGCGAAGACACCGAAGACTCCGTGCAATGGCGCCGACCGTTTCATTCCCAACAGGAGTGCTATGAACGCCGATATCAGCCATTATTTGGTATACCATTTGACTCATGCATTGTCTCTGTATTAATTGAAATGCATTTTTGCCATCAGATTATGAACTGCAAGGAGAATGAGAACCAAACGATTGATGGCAACAATCAAAGCACTGCTAACCAGACGGCCATCAGTGAGAATCTGGTCGGAGATCTGTCTAACTTCCGGATCATGTGTTACCAGAATAAGGCTCCGATCGCTGCCGAAGGACAGGCGAACAGTTTGAAAGTGTTGTACAGTTCGTCGAAATGCGGCTCTTCGTCGAAGAAGACCAGTCGTTATATCCCGACACAACCCGAACGCATATTAGACGCGCCCGACATTAAGAATGACTATTATCTGCAACTAATCGATTGGAACGCTTCCAATATCTTAGCGGTGGCTCTGATGCGGGAAATCTACTTATGGAACGCAAACACCGGAGATATCACTAATTTATTGACATTAGACGAAGAGCTGTACGTCTCGTCAGTCGCTTGGATTGAAGACGGAAATCATTTGGCCGTCGGAACCAGTGATGGAGACATCCAGTTGTGGGACACCGACCACATGAAGAGACTGCGAGTGATGAGAGGCACCGCTGGACGAGTCGGAGCCATGAGTTGGAACTCACATATCATAAGCGGTGGAACCAAAACGGGTTTAATTTATAACAATGACGTGCGAGTGGCCAACCATTTGATCTCAACACTCAATGGACACAATCAAGAAGTGTGTGGTTTAAAGTGGTCGCCGGGCGGACAGTATTTGGCGAGCGGTGGCAACGATAACACGATTCAAATCTGGAATAATTCTGTGACAACCAATGCTGACAATTGTAAACCGATCCATACGTTCACTGAACATCAGGCGGCAGTCAAGGTATGCCTATTTGGCACCCATTTTACGCATTTTGATTGATTGCATTGTTTGTCAGGCGCTGGCGTGGTGTCCGTGGAGACCGAGTACTTTGGCCAGCGGTGGCGGCACTGCTGACCGCACTATCCGTATCTGGAACTGTCAAAATGGCACCAATTTATATACAGTGGACGCAAAATCACAGGTAATGTTTATATACACATTAATACATGCATTTATTGAATACAAAATGAACGTGTATTTAAACGATAGGTTTCATCGATTTTGTGGTCAACTGACTATAAAGAGTTAATCTCATCGCACGGGTATTCAAACAATGAGCTCATCATTTGGAAATACCCGGGTTTGGCCAAAGTGGCAGAATTGACCGGTAAATTACCATTTAGTTGGTTATGCCATTTATTGCAATTGTGACGAATTGAAATGTTTTGATCACTATTAGGACATACGGCCCGTGTGTTGGGTCTTGTGATGAGTCCGGACGGCAGTACAGTGGCGTCGGTGGGAGCGGACGAAACCCTACGCTTTTGGGAGTGCTTTCAAATCGACGCTCAGAAGAAGAAGAAAACTAATTTTGTACCAAAGGATAAACTCATTGATAATGCCTTGCGTTCGACTATTCGTTAACTTTTTTATACAATTATTTTATTTATACTTTGAAATCATTTGACTTTTAAGTATTTTTCTGAAAACTAAACGCAAATCATATGATTATTTGTATTTCACATATTTTTCTATTCATAAATAAATTTCATTAAAAATAATTCACATTTGAAGTGAATTTAAGAAATAAAGCTTTAAATCTATTAATGTTTTTGAATGAAATTATATTTAAGGCTTAATCCCATTAACTATTGAATATAATAACTTACTTTACGATTGCATCTAAACATCGAAAAATGTATGTTTTAAACAATAGTGACTCTAATCTCCATTACTTTCACACTATTCTTCAATTCGTTTTGCTTTCTTCTACTCTATTATTAAAACCGATACAGACTTACAGTTACAACGAATTACTGTTTCCAACACTCTTCTCAATCTTAGCACAAATCGCATTTCTCTCTCTCTCTCTCTCTCTCTCTCTCTCTCTCTCTCTCTCTCTCTCTCTCTCTNNTCTCTCTCTCTCTCTCTCTCTCTCTCTCTCTCTCTCTCTCTCTCTCTCTCTCTCTCTAACTTTGTATATTCAATGAGTTAATCAATATATTTACCGTAATTTAGTGCTTAAATTAGAATATTTTTGTTATAAACTTTTTTACATTTTGATGTAAAATATGGGATAATTGTATTATTAGTGCACATTTATAAGTTGCCGGCATTGCATTGCTATTATGTTTCCCTGTTTAAGAAAAGTGTCAAAATGAGTGTTTGCCGTAGCGTTGCCAAACATACTGGAATTTTCACAAAATACAGGAATAAATTTTTTTGCACATTGAAAAATACAGGAATATATAGTTCGAAAATAAGCTGTAATACCGGAAAATACAGGAATTTTTGGCAATTTTCTTACATTTATACAGGATTTCAAAATAGTATTTGGCAACGCTAGTTTGCCGTCATTTTGAGAACCATAATATAAACGCGATTTTGTGCCGACTGAATTGAAAACTGATTATTTTAACAATATTTAAAATAATTATGAAATTATTAAAATATTAAAATTAATTCAATATCTATAGATAATAATAATAAAATGGAAAATTGTATAACATATGACATCTAAATGCTTTTGTCTGATTGAGATGAACTTTATAGCTTTGTTTCAAATCTTATTTTCTTGTAATCTATAAATGGAAGCAACGGATGATTATATGAATTCTGTTTAAAAGAATTAACAAACACTGAATAGAAGAGGAAATATGAACATTAAGTGCATTATTGCTCGCAATGAATATAAAATGCGCATTCCTGGGAATATACAGTATAATATATTTGTATATTAGTAATATGAATTACCAATTACATAATATGACAAAATGGGCATTTATTGAAATTATTGTTTTCCAATCGCTTGAAATGTAATTTATTTTTAAAGAAAAGCTTTGAAAGTAAAGCTTATGAGGATTTGGAGCAAAGATTTATGAGACTATGTTTTCATGAATTAAAGCATTGATTAAGTGCTAAACGCCTAAAGCAATGCTCAGCACATATACCGTATGTAATATTACACCAAAACTAGTGATTAGTTGGGATCGAGAATAACAAATAATTACATTTTTAGTTCAAACAAAAAAAACTTTAATCTTATAATCCGTTGTGTTTTTGAATTTTGATTAATTCTTCGATAATTATAAATAAATGAATAGTAAAATGCAATAAATATATCGAAACGACTTCACGACAACTGTTTGAGGGATTGGTTTATGGGATGGGAAGGCAGTGAGGATATGATCTCTCATTTATTGGACATTTAGTTGTCTTCTTTTTACTATATTTGTGTGATTTTAAAAGCTGTTAAAACATTTGACAATTGATTTCATTGAGTTTTTGGGCAAATGCTATCAAATTGAGCAAATTGTAAGACTCTGTGATAGCTGTGGGGCTATAAAGGGAGTGGGAATGATAGGAGTGTTACTAACATATTGGCGTCAAGCCATCAAACATTCAATCTATTGGTTTGAAGCTTAAGCTCTATTAAAGCTGATCACTGTTTCTATTGCAGGGATAGTCACGACTGGAATTCATTCACAAAATATAATATATTGTAAAAAATATTGTAAATTATTTATAAATTATCATATCTTTGAATAACGATAACAATAAAGAGAACCGAAAAAGAGTGAAATGTGTATAAAATGTTGATATGAAGTGGATATGGGATGCGAGCCCTGACCTGTTGCTGGTATTGATAGTGTTGGGTAGTATTGGATGTAAGATTGTAGCCCAAAGCCCATTGGGTGTAATTAAGCTTAAATTCATATATATTTGGTTTATTTTCTACTCTACTCTGACCTACAGTTCCCAATATTGTGTGTCTTTTCTGTTATTAACGGATTAGAGTTTTGGTGCACTCTTTGCCTTTCCATGCCTTCACTTTCCAATAGGCGTCGGGTCTTTGGATTCGTAATGTATAGCAGAGAAGGAAATTAAGTATTGAAGTAATTAGAGGAGAGGAAGCCGTTATGCCATCCCCTCATCAATCGATACGACGACAGCCTCGACAACGAGTGATTCAGCCATTGGTTTGTAAGTTGTGTTACATTTGCACTCTCTATACGACAAATAATTCCAGGGATTACTGGCGTTCAGACCGTTTGGATGAAACCAAACATCACAACCAGAAACTAATCGATTCATGTCTTTTGCACCCAATTTGCATCACATCCCGTCTATCACTCATTGTTTTTAATATACTTTTATCACATACTCTGTACTTTATTTTCATTAAAACTAGATCCATATTTTCTTACAAATACTTTTTTATTATTAATCATATGATGAATATCACAATTACTATCACTATTAAAATTGCCAATTTATTGCCATATGTTTTAAACAATGCCAATAGAATTACACTCAAAATATTGGACGCAAGTGTTGTAATAATTTTGCTTATTCTTACAGTTATGGTATGATTATTGAATTTTGAATGGAAAATAACTTATGATTTTGTCAACTGTTGATTCAATTTCTATAGAAACAGTTTGGAGTATAAATCTTCTTAAATTGTTGGTCTAATCCAAGCGGTCGAAGGATTACCGTCTCGTAGATCAATGGATGCAAAGCCTTTAACCTTAGATTTTGTTTTCACATTCAGTCGTTGTATGAAATATGGCAGAAGTGGTGGATGTGATGGAAGAGGTCTAAGAATACTACTATACAGTAGTGCTCTGTCGGTAATATTGGCGGCTCTGGTCTTGAAAGTGATCTTTTCTTTATAATTTCAAACTCTGTTTATGTCAGAGCTCTTTAAGACGAAGAGATCAGTTCAGCGATTGATTCTCTAAGGGCTGTGAGAGTGGAGGGAAAGGGAGGGGAAGAGCGCTGACAAAGTTGTGAGACATGTAAAAGTGATTTCTCAAAACACACCCGGAGTTGACACCTAAACATCTAAACATCTAAAGAAAATACTTTACTTCTTAGAAAAATTGTTTTTGAAGGAATATTTGATTACATTTTCTTAATGTTTCACTTCTATTGTCTAATCATATTTGTTGTAAATGAAGGCTTTTCTTGTCTTTGCAAAATCGATACAATTTGTGAATACTTTAGTCATTGAAGAGATAATTATTTTAAAAGTATTGTAAGGAATATTTGATGACTTAGTAAAACGTAAAGAGTATTTAAACATTTGAAAAACCAGCAAATATTTATTTAATAAATTATATTCTCGACAAACTCTATATACAGAGTGTTTCAAATGTGTTTAACCACTAATATTTTTATAGAATATTGTGGAATCTAATGCTAAACTATGTGAAATTTTTAGAAATGCTATAAATACTTAAATGTACATGCAAATATTATTATAAAATTTAAGGACTATATTATATGTATAGAATTCTAGAATATTATATAAAGATACAGAGATGTTATATAACTGTAATATGTATATTGCACAAATAAAAAACTTATATACTACCCTACCTGGGTTATCTATAGGTAGCATTTTTATTTTTAAATATCACAAATTTTTGAAGTGCGGGTTATACATGGGTGCGGGTAATGCACGGAATTTTAGGGTAATTAAGTTTCTTTGTTATTTTTAAAATGTCATGCTTTATCGTCCATCTTACTGATGTACTTCTTTATGAAAGATATGCACTGAATCCGTAACATTTTAACTGTGATCGGTGTAATACAGCTATATTATAAACATTTCATTCAATATATATTTAATTATAATATAATATGCATAATATTCTAGAATTCTGTTCTAATATTCTAAAGCTTATAATATAGCAAACTGTTGATTATGAGGCGTTCACACTGTATATACACACTGTATATACAACAATAGTATTGATTGGTTTAAGTGGAGAGATGTATGCAATGAATGATTAGGGAATAAAAGCGCAAATGACTGACTGTTGATAACAGGAAATTCATTGAAGATATAAATGGATAATCAAATACATTAGTTATGTTTTAGTGAATAAATTGTTAATTTATATCAGTCTAGCGTCTAATTCATCGTAACATTTGTTAATATTAATACCAAAATATAAAACTCAATCAATTGGCGATTTATGTTTTAAATTATGGCTTTGATGTCAACTGAGTATTAAAATGATGAAAAGAAACCGTTTTTGTATAACCGGTAACTAAATTACAAACAACTAAATGCACGGTTTGGCTATTGTATAGAAAATACCCAAACAATTAGGCTTAATATGATTGCATACTTCTATTATATCATAAATAATGATTGCCTTTCATAATATGTTTGAATTTACTCCACAACTGTTACTCTTCACAATCGACTTAATTATAATTATAATGTCTTTGATGTCATTGAATCCATGAACTAATAAGACATAATTTGCTTCTGGACTCTATCATAGACTCCATCACACATACAGTGCATCACACAGTGTGACACTCATTCCTACTGTACATTACATTCCCACTGTATAGAAATGAACATATTTTTCCTCAAACATTAAACCATTTAAATGTTTTAATTCATATACTTGTTATAGCCCTCTATGAAAGAGAAGAGAGAGAGAGAGAGAGAGAGAGAGAGAGAGAGTCCAATACTACCCAACACTATCAATACCAGCAACAGGTCAGGGCTGTGAGAGAGAGAGAGAGAGAGAGAGAGAGA